TTTTTTTTTTTTTTCCCTAGTTTCTTTATTTATTTATGATGATGATCCGTTTAGAGCTTCTCCAATGGTTAGCTATTTCGTTAACTATTATGACGTGGACAGGGGAAAAGTAAGAGAGAGTAGTCACTAGCTACTAAGAGCATCCACAATGCTTTGAGTCTCTTTTTGCATATGTGGCAAATAAATAGACTTAAGTCCATAATGACATGGACAAACCCAAACTAAAAAATCTAAAATCTATCCAATGCAAAACAAAAAAGTACTAGGTCTAGAATACATGACAACCAATAAAAATGCTCTATTATATTTCATTTATTAAAAGAAAAACTAAATGAGGAATAAATGATGAGTGCTTGGGTTTGTACTTGGGTCTAAAATAGACCCAAGTGTGGACTAGGTCTCATTTTTTTATTGCCACATAAGCTAGACTAGGTCTACATTTAATTGCATTGGAGAACACTTTTTTATAGACTAGGTCTATTTCTTACATGGCATGTAACTTTTTTTTAAGAGACCCAAAGCATTGTGGGTGCTCTAACAAATAGCTTATCTATTTCACGTAGCCCAAGATCATGTGAGAGAAGTACGTGGGTCCAATAGTATAAAATAATTATTTTTTTTATCTCTCACATCCACGTCAGCTAACCATATAGCTAGTAATAGCTATTACCATTAGAGATGCCCTTAGTATATCTCAGCTGTGTTTGTTTGATTGTTTTGGTAAATAGTGATTCAAATTTGCTCATTCAATGTTGATCCAGTTATAGTCCAACCTCAACTGCGTCAATAAAAAAAGTCAGATGAGGACAAATAATAGTTATTATACCAACATTTTTTTTTTTATTTAAAGAAACTAAAAAAAAAGGGTCAACCAGATGAGCCTTTGACAAGCGGGTGATTGTTTAACATCTAAACTAAAAAAAAATCAATCAAAATTCAAATTTAAATCAACTTTAACCAACTTCACTATCTCAAATATTATTAATATAATTAGATAATATCAATCAAACATTCAACCAATCATTTTTCCTTCTTTTGTATTTCTCTAGAAAGCTACAAGCTCTCCTCTGATCCTTTTAGGATTGTGATCCCTTGGATCCCGCTGTACCCTTTGAACTTTTTATGAGTAATAAAATTGGCTATTTCGAAAAAAAAAAAACATTCAACCAATCATTCTTACACATCACATCATCTTTAATTCATTATTCACCCACTCACATAATTTTAACTATCACTTCCAATCATTTTTCTCTAATTTTTCATCATATCAATTTTAATTATTATTTTAATATATCTACTACCACCTAACCATATCCAGTGGCGGAGCCACACCTTGTGGCTGGGGTCAGCTGACCCCTATGGATTTCAAAATTTTTAGTATAAAATACTGTTCAAACACTGTTTACTAGGTTAATGACCCCGCTAAAAAATATTGCCGACCCCGGTGAAATTTGAGGCTGGCTTCGCCCCTGACCATATCAACTTTTTTCAAACTTAACTATAGTTAAAAAACACTAATAAAAAATTAGTCAAATTCATAAACAATCACACCCGAAGCCATATGTATCGTTCCTCTCTAAAACTCAACACAAAGCAGATCGACAACGGCCACTGGAAAAAATCCAGATGAACCATGGGCCAGTCGATAAGCCCAACTCTTGTCTCATTATTCTTGTAGTTGGCCAATAATTGGGAAACCTTATACCCAAATATAGCTTAACTTGGGCCAGGCCCAATATTTGCACTGTTCTGTCCAACTTCTACAAGGCCAGAACCATACTACAAGAAATATTAAAAAAAACATGGATGACAAACTAAAAATTATAATAGGAAACACTTCTTGTGATTGTACTGTAGAGCATTCACAATGTTTTGAATCTAATTTCACCGAAATAATTTGAGTTAATTTTATAAAATTACGAATATAACAGATTTAGGTTCTGAATTATGTGGAGAAATAATACAAAAAAAATATATATAGATCATGCTCACTTTAATACATTTTACTAAAATAGTATTTTTATGAGAAGACATTGAGGGAGATATAAGTAGAGCTGTCAAGACGGGCTGGCAGGGTGGACCGGCTCGTAGCTTGCCAAAGCCCGTCAATTGGCTGGCGGGGCGGGCCTACGAAATGCAGGCCCAACCTGCCTCACCTGGCGGGTTTGGTGGACTAGGCCCACCAATTTTGTATGAAGTGTCGTCATCCCCTTCTGATTTTTATGGCGGCAGACTGTGCGGTTTAGGGTTTTATGCACGTAGGAGTAATGTAATGAATAATGTTCCCCTACCTATGGCGGACACATGTTAATATGTTCACCGTTTATGTGACATTCACACATTGATGATGTTAATATGTTCAAAAAATACATCACTAATGTGTGTATGCCACATAAGTGGTGGTCTTATTAACATGTGCCCACCGTAGGTATGTAACGTGGTTGGAGTCTCCTTAACCGTAAATGAAATGGCATCGACAATCGGGTGATAGATAATATTCAGATGGCTACTATTAATTAATTGTTACCTAGGTATGAAGAAATTTTTTAAATTATGAAATAAAAATGGTCCTTTTTTCGATGGAACAACTGGGAAGTCGATTATTTATTTTCATTTATTTTGTATAATTATATCATCCCAGTGGCCTTGTCGTTGTAATGGCATTCATGAAGAAATAAGAATGGATATTTACGTATTTTTTATTTTTTTAATAACCCGCCCTGGCCCATGGCCTGTGCGGGTTGGTCTGTTTAGGCCCGCTCCTCAGCGGGCCTAGACAATCTTGGCCCAACCCATCCCTTTTGCAGCACTGGACGGGCCAGCCCGCGGGTTGCAGGCTATTTTGACAGCTCTAGATACATGTCTCAAAATAGATATAAATGAAAACCTAGAGCAATTTTTCACGTATCAAAATAGGAATAAAATCTTTTTGGATGGGACTAATACTATTTGTAAGAAACTGAAGAAAAAACGGGTGTAGTCCAACTAACATTTAGCGCACCATAAATGGGAAAAGCTCATATGAAGCTCAAGTGGAGTTTCATCCCAAAACCAATTGGTGGAAGAAGGAGTAGTCCATTAGACTTATAAGGTGGATCTATATTCTATATATGAACGATGTGAGACAACTCATAAGTGATATTCCAATACTATTCTTGATAAATTATGTTGACCGCAATTTATTTCGTTTCTTTGTATCACTTGATGGTCATGAATTTAGTCATTCACTCCAATGACTGCGAGTGAAATTTTTAATAACTTGTGTTTTATGCTAATTCACGAGGTTATGAAGTTCTAAACACGTGGTTGTTGACAGTTGTTTTTGAAATAACAAAATTCTTCACCTTTTCATTTGTCTCATGTGGTATATCTTTTCTTATAGCTAGCAATTGCACATTGAATTATCGAATTATATATTAGCAAAATTAGAACACTTGATTATGTGTGTAAATGATCTTTTAATCATGTAAATTATTTAGGATTTTACTACACCGTTATGTATAATTAAACCATTGAATCAAACGCGCAAACGTGCATATAGCACGAAGAAATTATCAAGGTCTAGTTAGAAAAAACTCTTACCTTTTTTCATTGTCCATGATGAAATAAAGAACTAAGAAAAGAAAAAATCTTGACAGGTCATATTTTGTATTAATTAACAGCATGAAAATGACTTGATACTTGACAGTTGACATGCTGTATTGCTGTTCATTATGCTTATTTATAGCAGAGCTGTTATGTAATATCTCATTAATTAGTTCATTCTATAGTCACAGAAAATATACCAAAAAAAAAAAAATGAAGATGCAAAACCTGGAGAGACTGATGATCCTTGTATTGCATTATGCCTCATTTTCTCAACTCTCCGCGTTCTCATCCAGCAAAAGCCATCAGAAAAAACAGACCCAGTTAATTCGATAGTAACACAACAATATATTCCCCAAAAAAGAAAAGGCAAATGAAGATGCAAAACCTGCAGATGCTGATGATCCTTGTATTGTATTATGCCGCATTTTCTCAACTCTCCACATTCCCATCTAGCCAGAAAACCGAACCGTCTTACCACATGGGACCGGTATTAGCATCAAACCCATTAAACCTCCACATAATATGGTATGGCGAATGGACCGCCACACAACAAAACATCATCAGAGACTTCATCAGATCACTCTCCACCCGAGTCCCCAAAAGCCCTTCGGTCTCCGACTGGTGGCACACCGTGACCCTCTACACCGATCAGACGAACTCCAATGTCACAAGCACTGTAAACCTCTCGGCCGAATCTCTCGACCCAAACTACTCCCACGGCCACAACCTCACGCGATTATCCATGCAAGACATCGTGAAGAAGGCCTTTGCTGAGCTGGACTTCGCCAGCGGGATGTACCTGATACTGACGTCTGCTGACGTGGCGGTCCAGGACTTCTGCCACGGGGCTTGCGGTTTCCACTACTTCACGTTCGCACACGTGGCAGGGGGCGTGGTGCCGTATGCGTGGGTCGGGAATAGCGGGGCCCGGTGCCCCGATCAGTGCGCGTACCCTTTCGTGCTGCCCAAGTACCTGAAGCCCTCCTTCGAGCCGCTGAAGCCGCCCAACGACGATGCTGACGTGGACGGGATGGTGATTGTGATCGGGCACGAGCTGGCAGAGGCGGCAACTAACCCGCTGAACAACGGGTGGTACGGAGAGAAAGATACGATGCCCAATGAGATAGCTGATATGTGCCTGGGTGTGTACGGTGAGGGTGCAGGTGGAGGTTACCCTGGCACAGTAGCAGTAGATCGAAAGGGACGTGCGTATAACGTGAACGGAGTAAACGGGCGGAGGTTTCTGATGCAGTATTTGTGGAACAGTCGGCTGGGCAAGTGCGTGCTGACTACCTGATAAGAGCAAAACTACCTCAATAATGATGTTAGAACTTAGTTTCTGAATAACCTTTGACTGTACCTGATCTCATATGTATGGCATGTGGGCATAATAAGGGCATTTATAATGCCTGGTTCTCATACGCGAGCATAACAAGTGTAATATTAGTTTTTACTAGTATCAAATATTTCAGCCTTTCCAGATATTTTTCTAGTTCAACAATCATCAAGAATGGAATAATTGGTTGACTACACAGGAATTCGCAAACAAGAAACAAAAGCCCCAACACATGATAAAAGACTTTATAATGTATTGGCTTAATTTCCTCCGTGTTCACAACAAATGGCAAAATGGGATTCACTGACCACACTATCATATACAGGTACATCACAACCTAGTCAAAGTGGCTAATGCTCGTCCAGAACTTGAGAGCAATGGGCATTGACAAATTTTACTCTAATAGATATCACAAAACATCCGAGCAATGAATGCAATAACGGTTCAGGAACTTGAAAATAAGGCTGTCAGTTTCGGGAATTAGAGCAGAGGTTAAGCTGTCCCAGAAATGAATGGTGGTCGACTGGTTCAATGTTTTTTGAAAGAGACGATCTTGTTCGAGCTTCTCAGTCTCTGTTTTCGGGGCAGTGAAGTATCTGTCAACAGATTACAAGTTATTATAAATTTGAACATCTTTATCTTTACATTAGCTAGCTTGTGTGTGTGTGTGTGTGTGTGTGTGAGAGAGAGAGAGAGATAGAGAGAGAGAGCAATGGGACAACAGAAGGGATGAAACAGCAGCTAGCAAATAAATGCAAGGCATACCTTGAAATAGAATTGTTACCAATAGGGGAAAAGACAAAAGCAGGTTGCAATATGAGCTCATTTCCCATGTCAGGAATATCTTTATTACTCAAAAATTTGTTGGCCACTCTGGTTAAAAGATCAGCACCATTCCACCGCAACTGGGTGTCATCATATGAAGCATAAAACTCCTCCAAGCACGACATGATGAATGGGCTGCACACAAATGGCAGGTTTATCTGAGAATACATTATCATGCACATACATTTCATGACAAGTTGAAAAGCATGAGCTCCCGCTTTTCATTTGTTTCAGTCTAAAGGGAAGGTAGGTTATATCCTTTCATCTCACTAAAGCACTAAGTTCCCTTTCGCTAACAGTGGCTCTAACTATTTTTTATTTTGGAAGGCAAACTCCAGACATACAAAATTCAGACATCAACAAAATATTTTGTTTCCCACCCTTCATCCTCATATATCACAAACGCAATCGTAGTTTCTCATCTGTTTTACAAACCACATCTTACTTAAACTATACCTATAAGTATAACATATGTCTCTTCTCCATCGGCACACATCAAATTAACTGACAGTTTGCAGTTTATAATACAAATCCATAAAAAATCTCACTAGTGTACCTACCAAAGTATTAGAGGAGTTGAAAAGAAAATACACAAGCAATTGCACATTAGTACCTGTGCTTTCTAAATGCCATCACAGCACCACTCAAAGAGCTTCCAGCAGGCTCGGCCTCGAATCCAATCGTATTATTAAGATCGGATAGTGACTTCAACACTAACATGTCCGAATCAAGGTAGATTCCACCATATCTAAGAGTTCGTTTGACACCAAAAAGAAAAGAAAGAAGAAGAAGAAATTATTGAAGCATCCCGAGTATATCAGCAATCACAAGTTCATACGCACTCATTATCTCTATTACATGCCAATATTAACACCCAACTTCCGTAAACAAAGATCAAGTGCTTTATGTGTGTACTTCTAAACATTTACAGACATAATTTGGTATCAATCAAAAGCAATTCAATTATGGATCTCCAGAAGATTCCACTAAATTCTGAAGAGGCTGTTCGAGTGGATAAAAGTATGAAATTACCTATCGCCATTGCAATATGACAGTGAGATAGAATGCAAAATGTGCTCTCTATTCTTGGGGGTCCTAAGAAGGCTACAGTGCGGAGTTTGATAATGCTGATTCAAAAGACCATACTGAGATGAACTATCAAACATTTTCAAACAAAAACAGCCAGCTACCATTACAGATTCCCTCTGGATTTAGTAGAATCGGTTAACTTGTACTGGGACGTAAATCATATCCAATCAAACATAACCACGTAGCTGTGATCTAACTTAAGTGCTTACTTATAAAGGGCGGCAAGCCTGATTAATTCACTGTAGTGAGTTGGGTAATATTTTGTCTTCTTCCACTCATGCCAGACTGAAGCAAAAATACGAGTTGGTGTATCTTTCAGCAGCTCATCAAGATCTGCCATCACAACAGCCACCTTATAACTGGACAAGAGGAAAAAAAAAATAGGACATTTATATGCAAGCCTTGTTTCATCCTGATCAAAGTTAGTACATCACAAAAAAAGAAACCAAAGTCGCACTTCACTGGGCAAAACATAATGTAGGATAACTATTCCGTAAAAGACTCTCTAGACCACATGAAATGATTAAGCAATTACCCTTCCTTTACAAAACCATTGAAGAAATTGAGCTCTATTGTCTCAGATAACACCACCGCGCATGCATCCATGTGATGATACAGAAGGCTCTCAAGTCCCCTCTGCTGCCGAACACCAAACATCCAAGGTGGTGAGTTCCACACCATAAACACCCTCATCTTACATCTCCCTCTCCTAAAAAATGCATCCATAAAACTCCCGAATGACAATCTTCCCTCTAAACCAGGATAATAACCCCATCTCTTCCCGTCTGCATAATAATCTTTCTCTAGACCCTCCTTACTCCTAATTTTACGGATGTGATCATCGTTCAAAGTCCTCCTCTCCGCTGCCCTCCCAACTTTCTCATCACTGACCTCCTTGCCAATTTCTGATTTGGAAATAGACAATGGCTTCTTTGTCAAAAAGGAGGTCTTCTTAAACTCATTCAAAAGACCCTTCAAGTAAACTCTATCGCCTCTAGTCAATCCAGTAACTCCAGCTCCATCTGGATCCTGCAAAATTGGATTATGCAACGGGTTCAGAACCTCGATATTGGACTTGAACATCCGATCCCTCCTCAAAAAATCACCCTTCTTGTCGAACCATTCCCCCCACCCTTCCCTCAGTACAGACCCCTTCAACAACAAAGCATCCTCGACTTTCTTCACCTCACTCAATTTTTTCCGCAGTTTCTCGTTTACCAGAACATCGTCAGACCCGAAGACGGGCTTGGACTCATCGTGGCTGAACCCTAAATCGGAAGTGAGCTTCAAATTGAACGGGACGTAGTCCTCCCACTCCTCGATCGAGCGGCGGTTGAAGGATCTCCTGATGACGCCCCTCACGGGGTCGAAGAAGTAATTCGAAGAAACGGCGCCGTTCTGGTTTGCGGAGGCGTCCTCCTCATCTTCCTCGGCGAGGATCTCCTCGCTGCTGCCGTTTCCGCCGTCGTCGGCGACGGCGTCGTCCAGCTCGTCGATGCGGTCGTCGTTGGAGGTGGAGGTGGTGAGGGCCTCAGAGTCGAGATCGTCGAGGAGGGGGTTGAAGGAGAGGGAGTCGTGGGGGAGGGGGTGGGAGTGCTGGGGGTGGGAGCTGAAGAAGGACAGGCGGCTGTAGAGGAGGGAGACCGAGAAGAGGAGGAGCACGGCGGCGATCAGCGCGCAGAGGTGCGCGCCGTAGCGGGGACGCCGCCGAGTGCGTAGGTGCCGGAGCATGAGATGCAGCGGTTGGGAGTGTGGGTGCTAACCAGTGACGGAGTACACAGTGCGATTAAACCGTCACGAGAGCCGACGGGTAGAAAGAGGAAAAAGAAGTAGCTCAAAATGAAACTACTTAAAAAAAAAAAGGAAAATTGCGATTATAATTTGTAACAGTCATTTTATTTGGAAATCGAATAATATTATAATCATTCACCTTGCTTGAAATATCAATGTGATTTTTCTATATATGATGGTTCAATTTTTTGAAATTTTTTTTTGCTTTATTTGGAGGGTAACTGTAAAATCTCATATAAGATTTACCAAGTTCACAAATGATGATAGCTTGATGGGAATTATTTTTTTTACTTGTTTTTTAATTTCATTTTCACTATGTTGAATATCTAAGATATGTATAAACGTGATGTTAATATAATCACGTGTTAATTTATTCAATTAAATGGAATATGAATTGAGGTGTAATTTTAGAATAAAACATTTCATCGGTTGATGATCATTTTCCTAAGCATTACACTTTGGTTCAATTATAAATGTACTTGTAATGCAGTTTTACAATATTTGTTATTCTATATTTTAATATCCAGTATTCCACATTATCAATAAGTTATCTTTATTTTTATTATGTTGACATTAAACATTTAATACCGTAAACCTAAAGTTGTCAGTTTGAATCAATCATATTAAAACATTATAAATATTAATTTAGTTATTGTTTGAGTTATAATTTGTGTTTGAGTACATTTACATGTAGAATTAATATTTCAAGTTTTTTTGTTTAAGTTCGACTTGATTCTCAAATGGACGAGTCTTATTAAAGTCTTATAGTCCACACACATCACTCAATTTCTACATCGAACTTCCACTGTACCTTTAAAGTAATTCGCTTGCATCACTTATATCAACTACAAAATAATCACTTATATCAACTACAAAATCTAGTTTCGATAAGTCGGTAGCAATGTCTTCCGACAGATATTTAGGGTTCCTACCAGAACAAGTTGTGGGTATAAAGTCGTTCGCTAAGTGCCACCAGAAAGTTGTGACCTTTAAAGGGATATTTAAGGGCCACGAGAACCTTCACCACTTCCAAAGACTAACTGCAGAATGGCTTGCGGAGGAAGCGTAAAAACTCGTTTAAACTTTATAACCCTTTTCGATTTAATTCACTTTTGTCACCGGAACGCCAACCGTGATCGTCCTTTGAGGAGAAATTGGAAGATTAATTTGCATGATTTCTTCAGCAATTTATTGGGGAAAAAGATTATAAATGAGACTCTCGTTCCATTCACTTCACTGATGAGGTCATGCATCTTGCATATCGACTGAAAAGTTAAAATAATGTAGTTAAGGTTGTTTGAGTGGATTAATAGTGAATTAAAGTTGATCTGATATATGATGACTGACTTATTGTCTTCTTTAATTATATTGCAGATTGTTGAAGATTGTCTTATATAAACGATGTGAGACAACTCACAAGTGAATATTCTAATACTCCCCTCACTTGGGAGTCCTTAATAAGAAAGTCCAAGCTCATATACGGAGCTGGGTGCCCAAGTCCTTCTAGAAACAGGCTCCCATAAACAGGTATACGGGAAAAAAATGAGTGCGATCTCATGCATGGGAAGCGCACCAAAGGCAGAAAAAGCTTAGATAAAGCCCTAGTGATGTTCCATCTTAAAACCAATTGGTGGAAGGAGGAGTATTCCATTAGACTTATAATTAGACTTATTTTCCCTATATAAACGATGTGAGACAACTCACGAGTGAATCTAAAACCAACCTAAACACAACCCACTAGAGGAAAAAACACAACACTACCACGATAATCATGAGTTGTTCAATTAATTTAACAATCCTAACAAATCATGAGTTGTTCAATTAATTTAACACTTGGATTTAATTGAACTTTTTAAGACTTTAAGGGGGCAATTGTTTATGGTTTCTACATTAAAAAAAAAAAAAAATCAAAACTCAAATTGAAATCAATTTTAACCAAATTCCACTATCTTTCATATTAGTAATATAATTAAATAATATCAACAATCATTATTACACATCACATCAATTTTAATTCACTATTCATTCATTTATATAATTTTAACTAACTATCATTTTCAATCATTTATTTCCTACTTTACATAAAAATAACTTTAATTATTTTATTTAAATATTATTTTTAATATATTAACTAACAATTAATTATACAACTTTTTTAAACTTAATTATAGTTAAAAAATAAACTAAATAAAAACTAGTTGATAAAATTACACAAAGAAAGTTTCACCAATTTCCAACTCAAAATAAATAAATAAATCAAAGTTTTAGATAAGTATGCATTTATTATGTTGAAACAAAAAGGAATATTTACCCTACCAACCATTACTCGTAGCCCGTCGCTATCCAAAAGAACTCCAACAAAAGAGTGATCTCTCCCCACCGTCAGCCACCGACCGAAGAGCGGCGGACTTTAATTTCTCTCCGTTGAAAATGGCGTCGAGGCTGTGGGCTACGAGGGCAGCTTCATACCTTAGGATCTCTGTTCCTCACAGAGGTTTTGCCACTGGTACGTTCACCCGGATTATGAACTTCATCTTTTCCGGTCACGTTTAATTTTCCTGTTTTGTTCGCCGGTTTTGTGGTTTGTTCTTGTGCCTTTTTTGTATTGTTAAAATGGAAAAAAAAAGATGGATCTGTTGCTATTACTTATTCATTCGTGGATACACGATCCGATTCATCACTGCGAGTTTGCAGTTTTGATCAATGGCGGATAATCGATGTTCTGTTCATATTTTGTTGTGCCTTTCTTTAAATGCATTTTGAACAGAGTTAATGACTATTGTCAGCTCCTTCACAACAGCGAGGAATATTTGTATTTGAGTTTGCTGTTTCGATCCGTGTGAGTTTGCTGCTTCGATCAATGCCAGATTACTGATGTTCTTTTCGTAATACCTTCATACTTTTCGTAAGCATTTTATGCATTTGTGAACAGAGTTTGTGACGATTGTCAGGCTGTCAGCTCATCTCCTTCACAACATTGAGAAATTTTTATGTATTCGAGTTTGAACCACTTTTAGCTGTGTGAAAATTGGGGGTTGAAGCATTAAATTTGGCAAAAAATCCAGCTCGTTTTGGTTTTTTGTGCACTCTTTCTGAGTATCATGAATGCAGTAGGCCAATGTAGATTTCATATTTGCACAATCTTTGATAATCTCCGCCCGAGTAGCTTCACACTCTTGACCCAAAACTGTTTCATGGCAACGTATGTACATATTCTTTTCAACTGATGCAGTTATCAAGGATCTGAAGTATGCTGATTCTCATGAGTGGGTGAAGATCGAAGGCAAGTCTGCCACGGTGGGCATTACGGATCATGCCCAGGACCACTTGGGTGATGTTGTGTATGTCGAGCTACCTGAGGAAGGGGCTGAGGTAAAGCAAGGTGCGAGTTTTGGTGCCGTTGAGAGTGTTAAGGCAACTAGCGACATTAACTCCCCAATTTCAGGGAAAGTGGTCGAGGTCAACTCGAAACTCAATGATTCTCCTGCTCTGGTGAGTCTCTTTCGCAAAAAATAGTTCGGTATTCTTTGCCATAAAGTGTTGGCATGAAAAACAAAAAAAAAGTGTGTGTTCGTTCAGGGAAATAAGTTTTGTGTATGAACGTAGTCGGAAGAGAATAGAACACGAAACTCGATGATTCTCCTGCTCTGGTGAGTCTCTTTTGCAAAAATAGTTCATTATTCTTTGGCACAAAGTGTTGGCGTGAACAAAGTGTTGTTTGCTTAGGGAAATAAGTTTCGTGTATGAACGTAGTCAGAAGAGAATAGAACACGAAACTCAATTATTCTCCTGCTTTGGTGAGTCTCTTTCGCAAAAAAATAGTTTTCTATTTTTTGGCACAAAGTGTTGGCGTGAAAAAAAAAAAGTGTTAGTTCGTTTAGGGAAATAAATTTTCGTGTAGGAACATAGTTGGAAGAGAATAGAACACAACACTCATTTAAGTTATGAGAACAAATTGGGACAGCAGGCTGAAGGATGTTTAGTTGAAATCAAAGTAGTAAGAAACAGTGTGTTTGTTCTGTTAAAGAGTCGAACATTTCAGGGCTTGCTTTATATTACATCGATTGATACTGTCAAATGCTTTACTGAATTACTTACTGTGTATTCATGTTTATTCTCTTTTAAGGTAAACGGAAGCCCGTATGAGGATGGGTGGATCATAAAGGTGGAGGTGGAAGATGAAAATGAGCTGAACAACTTGATGGACTCTGATCAGTACTCCAAGTTTTGCGAAGAAGAAGATGCCAAGCATTGAGAGAGAGGAGCCTCGTAATTTCACAGGGATAATAATCTCCTTTTGGATGGATAATCATAAAACATCTGATGTTAAACCCTCTGGAGTTTTTTATTTATTTATTTATTTTCATCTTTTCTCTTTTATTTACTTGTTCATTTTTTTTTTTTTTTCTGGGTTTTAATTTTTTTTTATTTTTCGAATTGTTGTGTTAATTTGGGATGATAAACCACTTTATGGGATTTCTTCTACTAGTATATAATCCAGTATATAATCCTGTTATTTGAAATTACAAGTTAGATAATGGGCATGACAAATTATAATTTTTATCATTAGTAAAAATTAACGATATTTATATTTAACTTAAGTATTAATATTTATTAATTGCAATAGTGTAATTTTTGTAATTTTGGCTAATTATGACTAATTAACTAGATACAACAATATTAAAATTAATAATATAACAATTTTGTACAAATTTTTAAGGAGTTATGTTAAGACAAAAAAATAATTAATTAATTAAAATGTACGTAATTGGATGAAAAAATAAATAATAATTTTGAATAATTAAAAAAAATAAAGTAAAATATCATTTAACGTGACATTACGATTAGTTAGAATTTATTAGTAGCTATTAAGCAATAAAATAAATAAAAAAAAAATAACTACTTAATTGGTTAAAAATGTAACGGAAAATGAAGGGAAATCAAAAAGAATTTTATTAAATGCATTGTCAGTAATTATATATAATAACTAAGCATCATAAACTTTTGAGAGAGTTTTTGCTGTACTTTTTTAGTTTTTTTATGAAAAAAATTAAAATTATACTTGTACTTAGAAATATTATACTTTTGTTTTTATTATTTTTAAAATCTACCGCTTGTGTAAGAAAAGTATGCATATATCATACTTTTTGAATAAACTTTTATACTTATACAAAAAGATGTAAAACTTTTTATATTGTTTTCAAGCTGCACGTTGCCTTTTACCACATTGTTTCAAACGAAATGTGAATGAAATATATGTATACATGCTAGAAAAATATTGTTGGTTGTTATTTGTAATTTAGTCGACTTCTCAACTAATTTTTCCAAAAATTTGTTTATATCAACTAGTTTTTCGACTATCAACCACAAACTACTAAGTCCCACCTAATAACTCAAATTCATTTATAAGACATCAAAGTAGCTTGCTAACTTTTCAAATAAATTTACCATACATCACTTAGCTATGTTTTGAGTGCTTATGTGTAAAAACCAAAAAAAAAGGGGGGTATACTTCTCATTATACATTATTAATAAAGTTATATTATAAGAAATATAGTAATTCAACATTATTAACACAGTAAAAAAAGGTTGAAAAAGATATAATATTTTTATAGTTATTGTGTTATTTATAACATAATTAATCACCACTTTTAACTTTATAGTTAATTTTATTTCATGAAAATAACTAAAAAATACCATACAATTTTATATACAAAAAAAAAAAAAGAAAGAATAAATGCCAATAATAGTAGCCTGAATTTTCGTTCCGCGGCTAAAACAAAAAAACCTCTGAAAAAAACTATCGCCAGTTTGCCGCTCGCCAGAGCCAACACTGTCTGCAAGACTGCAAGAGCTTAGAAAAGTGTCATTATGCGGTTAAGCTAATTTATACGGCTTATAGAGAAGCAAAAGCACGAAAAGAACGCTAAGAGGACTGTATTTGATAGGAAATGCAGAGATGGTTTTGCTTTCTGGGATCAATAAGCTTGCCGATGCTGCTTCTGTTACTATGGGATGGGACCTAGTAAAGGTGTGTCCAACTTTTTAATTCATTGCAAATTCTTGTATTTTCGTTCTGTATGGTATATTTCTGGTTATGGGTTCCTGTAATTTCTGCTTAATTGCTTGATTTCTGACATTATGTGTTATGGAGAGTCTATGATTCTGTTTTTGGCATGCCTCTGAAATTGGGTATTTAAGCATCCATTATCGTGGGTTTCGATTTTAGATGATTACAAAGGCAAACTCTGAGTAATTTGAGCTTGTGTTTCATCTCGTGGCCAGTGGCTCTGTGCTGCAGCAGTTGGGAAATCCCCAATAGTTTGCTAAGTTGCTTTCTGTTATATATTGATAGGGATTATAGCACCGACCCGAGTTAACCGAATAAAGGGTCGAATAGGCCCAACGGCCGAGTCGGGTGAGAAGGGTCATCGGGGAGCATCGACCGAGGGTAAAGGGTCGGACCACGCATAGTATCGACCCACCGGCCAGACTGTCGACTCACATAAAGGCATCGACCCACTAGCGGTCGACCCAACGGTCGACTCGCATAGCCATACCAAGGAGTGTCGACCCGCAAGGCGTCGACCCGCTAGCGATCGACCTATGGGGCACGTACGGCGAGGGTCGAACATTGGCCATAGTCCTACTCTCATAGCCAATGCCGCACGTCAACACCACATGTAAGGGGTCAACATCAATCCTGGTTTGACCCTTACTAGCAAGATTCGGTACGCGGAGCCGTACAACTCAAACACTATATAAAGGGTTAATTCACTGGAGAAAGGTAAGCTGAGCGAAATATAGTCCTTTCATAGTCTGGAAACTCAAAAAGTGATGAACGATGGTGCTACTATTGTCTGGGCTTTAGATCGTTCTGACATGATTGATAATACTGGAGTAGTGTTGATTCAGGAAGTGTTACTATTGTCTGGGCTTTAGGGCTTGAGAGCTTTCTGACATGATTGATAATACTGGACTACTGGAGTAGTGTTGATTAAGGAGGTCAGTGAACATAGTCGTGTGATTCTCATGTTAAAATAGAATAAGCTTCACCTTAATCTTGTTCATTGCCTCTGTATGTTGCCACTATGACTTGGGTGGTTGTGTTGGCTCGAGAAATGATAAAATCTGGAATATTGGCTATCACTAATGGGGCTAACCCTGTTTCGTTAAAGAGGGTAATGGAGAAAACAGTGAAAGAATTGGCCGATAGGTTGAAAGGAAAAAGGTTACGCTGTAAGAAGAAGATATGTCATCAAAGGTTTTTTGCGTCATTCCTCCCTGTTGTTTTATTGGGTTGTTATTCAACTCTATAGATTATCGTATTTTCTGTTTTTAAGTCTTTCTGCAGCTGTAGGTTGTTATTATGTGCTTGTAATGATGAATATATTGGGAACTTAATTGCTGAAGCTATTGTCAAAATTGGCCCCGATGGAGTAACGATCGATCGAATTTCTTTCATCTTCTGAAACTTCAGTGACACTTGATGAGGGAATGAAGGTAATTTGTAAAAACTAATGTTGGGCTTATTTCACAACTTTCTATGCCAGCCATTTTCTAAAGCATGTAACAAAATTAGAGTTATCCTCATTATGCATTATTTATTTCTCTTTTTCCCTTTAGTTTTCATTATTTTTCGTGATCTCTATTCAGGCAATCTTTTTCTTTCAGATACATAAACGATACATATCACCACATTTTGTCATGAACAAGGACAAATCTATAGTTCAATTTGAGAATGCCAGAATTCTGGCGATGATCAGAAGATATCCATGGTGAAAGAGATTGTTCCTCTGCTGGAAAAGGCAACACAATTCAGTGTCCCTCTACTGATTTTTGCTGAGGATATAAGTATATAACCCAGAAGTGCTAAACTATAGTTGTGAATAAAATACAATGTATGTCGAATATAGCTGTAGTGAAATGTCCAGGGCATGAAGAGGGAAAGAAAGACATATTGCAAAATATTGCACTTATGACAAGTGTTATTTTCTGCTCATTTTCAAAATCTCAGATTTTTCTTAATAATATTTTCTGGTCCTTCCGCTTCAGATGCGAAAAACTGATATTCAAAATATATGAGAAAAATGGAAATTTCATAGTGATTGTTTCAAATATATTGTGCTAATGTGCTTCAATTTTAACTTGATACACTTTTTTATTGCAACCAGTTGATGATTATATTTCTGGAGATTTTGGCCTGACACTACAAGCTGTAACATCCGATCAGCTTAGTATTACTCGAAAAAGAAACAACAATGAGCAATTTACTGCCATAGTTGCAGACCCTTCAACTAAAGATGAAATGCAGGCAATTAATTATGCAGATAAAGAAGGATCTTGCCGAGACAGACATCAATTACTTGGCAGAAAAGCTCAGTTAGCAGATTGAAAAGCTCTGTGTTGGGGTGTGGCTGTAATTAAGGTTGGGGCCCACACAGATATCGAGCTCGAAGAACGAAAAGTCGAAAACTTAGAATAGTCGATGCGAAAAAATGCCACTTTTTGCCTATATCCGTTTTTGGAATGGTTTGTTACCTATTCTTAAGTCTCAACAAAGCTCTTCATATTTACAGTTGCTAATTGAGTTTTCCTTTTTCCAGTTTGGGGTATGCTTGCTTGGCTCGTAGGCTCGAGCTCGGCTCGACTCGTTTGATTAACGAGCTGAGCTCGAGCTCATTTAAAGATGGTTCATAGCTTGATGAGGCTTGTTAAGTTTCGAAAAGATATTTTTTTATGTCGAACTGAGTTGGGCTCGTTAAGAGCTCGAGCTCAAGCAACATGAAATATGGTGATGAAATTGTGGAGGACTTTTGCTGGCTTGGACAGGTATAACTTAACCATCTTCACTACAACTACTGTTATTAAGACCCTTTCCACATTTTACTTTTCATTTATTTAAAAATGATGTAAATTGAACATCTTAACCAAATGTATTTCTTTTCCAGCAATATTATTGCTTCTTTCTTGTTCTTTGTTATATATTTAGTTATCCCCTAAAGTTGAGACTGTTTTAATAATATTTTTCATGTCGGCTTTTAATCTAATCATTTCTCCAGCCGCATATTGTTTTCGTAAAATGGTAGCAATCCAATTTTTTTAAGTGACAATTAACTGTTTGTGCAACTTTATCTCATAATTTCGCTTTAGTCTTGGTGCAAATTATTCCTTTTTTTTTATATATATTTTACTTTGAGGATATTGGTTTTTTAGACTATCTTTCTCCAATCCAACTCAATTCAACTTAATAAT